AAAATGCACACAATAAAAATACTTTATGTTTTTATTGGGGTTTTTTTTAGACATTTTAACTAACTTTGTTTATCTATTTGAATATTTAAATAGTTTATTTTATCATGTAAAAGTAATTTGTGCTGCACTTCTGCTACTGTGTAAGATGAGTAGCATGATGTACAGCTATCCTTGCTGTTGTTAAAAAAACATAACAGCATTCATTTACTAAGAACAATAAACTCAAACCAGCATGGAGGCAACTGATCCACCGTGGTGAGCCCTGAAAGGGAACAGCCAAAAAAAAAGAAGAAGAAAATCAAAAACAATAACACTGAGACCTGCTATTCAGGTTCAGCTACCGTTGTATTTACTTCCATTCCACAAAACTGAACAACTGCTTTTATTATGTCTCCTGTACAGTAATTTGTTGCTATTATATCTGACAACCGTTGAACTAGTTGTCTGAAGCGTATGCGCCTAAGTGAACATAAACATCTCTGCTACTTACTGAGCTGCCATTCGTCTCACTCACTGAAATTTCAGGAGCCAAAGATGTTGCAACTTGTCCCTGAAAGGCAGAGAGAGCGAGAGAGAGTGAGAGGAGGTTTGGGGCATGTCTGAAAAAGACTGCAGGATGTATGTGGTTGGAGAAGAGATGACAAATACAGTAAATAGTGATGGGGTAATACTATTAATCCTGTGAGAAACAAATCATAGGTTTTTTGTTTTTTTAGGCTATAAACCTACATCTGTTTAGATGTCATGTGACTGGGAAAAGAGGGGAAGATGATTGGAGGGGAAGGGAAGAAAGCTAAGGTGAGCCCACCTCCACCGCTCAAGTCTTACCTTTCCTCTTCAGGCAACACCTTGTACCTGGGCTGAGCACCTCAGCAGCAAACAGCAGCTCTGACAACCAAGTGGATGCATCTGCTGGACAATCGTAGCTCTTTAATTTTCTCTTCTATTTGTACCCTGGACCTTGGAATGCATTTCACATTTCTACCAGCAAACCTCTAGAAGTCAACCAGACCCTTTTCAGTGGACTGACGTTAAATATTGGACTTGGACATGTTTGGCGCAGGGCAGCTGGTATCCTCTCTCCTTCCTGCAGTTTTCCATTCACCTGCAGCTCATTTTTTTCCTGCCTTCCCAGCCAGACTGGGCTCTCAACCTCAGTTCCTGATCCCGGGGCCTTTTATCAGCTACGAATCCCTGAGGAATTATCTGCAGCCAGAGCTATGCAAGGAAGCTTTGCTAATGGCCACACAGGCGGTCAGGATTGGGCCACTCACAGAGAGCATAGGTGAGTTCAAGCCACAGCTGCTGTAGCCAAAATGGGACTGATTGTATCATACTGGACTTGTTCAGATAGAGCGTAGCCAAACTGGCACAGTATGACCAGTCTCAAAGACAGTCTGTGAGCACCATCTGATTGCAGTGTAAATGTTTACAAAAGACTGACTAACAGCTCGTAACTAACAATCAATTATCAAGCAGTGTTAAATTGGGCCTAATGATTGCTGTGCTAATTATCCAATCTAGAGCCATTAGTTCCTTGTCACCCATTGGCGATTGTGTAATTGGTGCTTGTGGTGTGCTTTCCAGATGAACAGAGGCCAGTGAAGCAGCGTCGTGCACGGGCCAACTACAGCAGCTGGCAGCTGGAGGAGCTGGAGAAGGCGTTCGAGACCACCCACTACCCGGACATCTTCATGAGGGAAGCCCTGGCCCTCAGACTGGACCTTATTGAGGCCAGAGTCCAGGTGATTGGCACGACGAACTCCTGCTGGAGTTGTTAACGTTGTACTCATTTAGCTGATATTAATTTTTACGCACAGTGTGCAAATTTGCCTTTAGCCCTACTGTTTATTTTCCATCATAGGCATGTTTGACAATACTTACAATAATTCACAGTGAAATCATCTTGCACACCAAATAAAGGAAAATGCCTGGAGAAAAAATAGTATTTTATTCTATATGAATACAATAACTTGACTAGATTAATCTGTAATTTTTTGCTATCCATATGGGTCAAGATTCCTTTCTGTCCCAACAGAAATGTAATCACAGTTTCAGCTGATACCAGTATGAAAGTAATTCTTGACTACAGATACATCAGAGCCTGTTTAGTGCAGTTACATTTCAACTATTGTTTTTTAACTATATAATCTCCATGTTATTTACATTCATATATTATATCTCTTTCATTTATTCCAAGGTTTGGTTTCAAAACCGCCGTGCAAAAATGAGACGGCAACTGAGACTCCAGGGCCAGTGTCCAGGGCCTTATGTGAAAAGGGACAACGATGAAACATCTCCAAAAGCGAGCAAGAGTTTAAAACACACAGAGAGATCGGACGGTGAGCACTGGGAGAAACAACAGGAAGCTGAAGGTTATCCATGGACAACCCAGAAGTTGGGGAAGTGGGAGAGGCCGGAGGGGCCGAGCTCAGAGGAGCTCCGCTCCTGCAGCATTGCTAAGCTGCGGGCCAAAGCCAGAGAGCACGAGGCTGAGATCCAAGGCAATGTAAGCATGTCGGGAGGCACCAAACTGTCACAAACACAGGAAACTGATGCCACGCACAATGACTGATCATTTTCAATCTTCCTGTTTATACATGAGTTGGAACTTTTGGTGGAAGTGGAACTTAAATATTTAGCCGTCATTAGCTGAATATATGTACATCTATATATTCTGTAAGATTTTATATTGAAAAAAAAATTTTACATAATGTCAAAGTTTAAGGTTTTGGCTTTACCGTGCATTCCAACTGACTTTTAACTTTCCTTATGTTTTCTTGAGTATATATATATATATATATATATATATATATGTGTGTGTGTGTGTGTGTGTGTATATGCAAATGATCATGTCTTTTTATATGCTGAATACAGTTTTAGATACACCTCAGATATGTGCAGTGGCATCCACTCCCAATGAATGGTAGATGCTTCATGGTGGGGCCTCAACATGTAACAATGACAAATGATAAATGTGGACGTCTTATTGTGTCAGCCTATCAGGGCAAAACTGAAATGGGATACACTCAATCTGTAAATGATTTCAGCATGACAACCATCCCTGACCTCTTGGGTTACCTCCACACACAGGCAGGATGTCTACATGCAGCCACACGTCCTCACAGGAAACAACGCAAATAGCTAAAAAATGAAATCATGAAGACTAACTGCAGTATTTACGCTCATTTATTAGACATTTAATACTAATCAATACAACATTTCTGTTACAAAATCTACATTTATTCATTTCTGATGTCGGGTCAAAACTTTACCTCATGTTTAATATTGAGGTTAAAGGAGATAGAAGTGGTCTACAATACATTTAAAAAAAAAGACATTTCTCATATTTGCATAGTAGCGCTTGTGAGAGGGGTGGTTTGGTTCTCTTTGGAACCTTCAGGTGTTTTTGGATCAACAAACCCTGTTGTTTATACTAATTCCTCTGTACTATAATTACAGCCTATTTATTTAGTATTAGGAAATTGTGCTCTGATGTGCTGAATCACACACAGACGTGTGGAAAGATATATGGTTGATGATATGTGCTCTGTGCCTCTTGAATTGTTCCTGCTTCACCTAAACTTCTAGATTTTAAAGATACTAATTATGTTATGTGTGCCTTGTTTATAGAGTTGACCACAGGTTGAAAGCGGTATGATAACAGTGTGACACTGCCCCCTTCTGGGCTTCAATACGTCTTTAGACAGGACAAGGCGACAAATATTGTTTCCTTTTTTTGTTTTGTTTTTTTACATGTACCGACTGAATGTGTGTTTTTTTTTAATTTTATTGTAACGTATTGAAACTTTTTTTTAAATTGTTGTCTACAATAGTTTTAGACTTTGCTTTCATATTCTGAGTCACCCTGTGTCAATTAATAAACAATTCATGTCTTACAGTAATTGTGACATGTATCGATGATGAGGTCAGTGTGGGTTGCTCCCAGTTCAAAGACTCAATTTCAGCTCTGGTCTCACACTAATTACATTCTCTGTGTCAGAGGTTTGAATACTCATGGATGAGGTCTGGGTCAAATTTGATTTGGGACTACTTTTCAAAACGGACCAGGGAAGCACACAGACTTATTTTGTTCCCAGTTAAGGTGAAATCAGTCTGCAAGCTGTCTTTGCAAATCAAATGCCTAAGTATTGAGTTTACTACATAGAAAAATTGCCCAGAAATTAACATAACTTTTCCCTAAGATTTAATGGGACATGGCGACATGGGTTAATTGGGTCAGACTCTTTAGATGAGGCTAGCTGGCCTCAATTAGTCCCCAATTAGGCCGCACACAAAGAACAATAAGGTTAAAGAATGCATGTAGAAGAGCATTAACTATCCTTATGTACACTGTCTGAGGTAGCAATACTGGGGTTTTATACTGTAGATATTCCAGAGCACACTTGTTCTTCAAAGCTTAGCTCGAAGGATATTTTTATTTAGCATTAAATTAATATATTATGGCCATAAAACTTCTGTCCTCAAAAAGTTGCAGCTGTCGTTTAGTTATGTCTCTTATGTCTGTTTAACTATAACTGTCATGTCATTATGTTCAATTAATATCTTTTATTTAATTTGATCTTTTTAATTACATCTTTAAAGATATAACTGAAAATTCAATTTCGTAACTGGCTCACGTGCATATAAGTCCAACACCGTGTTTTACCAGCAAAATAAAATCAAGAAGCGCTTATTCCACGATCATCGTTTTGGCTGTCATAGCAGGGTCAATAAATGCAATAAAGACTATTAGAGAAGATGGTTCAAATGTGCCATAGTTGTGGGGAAAAAAAAAGGTCAGGTGAGACAAGCACGAGGATCTAAAAACACTAAATAACAACATGTGCTGTCTGATAACAGATTACACTAACCTACCTACTAACTGGATTTAACCTTCATTTGGTTTTCTGAACATCATTTAACTCAATAATCACACCCCAGGGAAAATAAATAAATAATAGGTCAGCATAATCCACTTCCTGGGATTAAAACGTGCATGAATTATGAACATCAGACTTAGCCAACTATTTCCTTAGCCGAATGAGCTTTTCTTCAACTGTCGTGAATGACGAATCGGCAGTGGCGTCAATTAGTGAAATGAGCCGAGAAACACACACCAGCAGCAGCAGCACTTCGCAGAGTCGGTGAGTCAGACAAGCAGGTGAAAGAAGGAAACAGGACGCAGCTGCAGTTCGCAGATCACGGTCAAAGCCAGCACAGAGACACGTTGTTTTATATCTGTCTTTCCTCTCACTCCGTCACACCTCCTGCCTGTTGCACACTTTGTCTGCAGTAGTGGTTCTGTCGCGCTACAAGCATGGCTGCCATCAAGGCTTTGGAGCAGTGGTGTAAAATGCAATGTGAGGGCTACAGAGATGTGGCCATCACCAACATGACGACTTCATTCAGGAACGGGTTGGCTTTTTGTGCGCTAATACACAAGTACAGACCGGACCTGATGTAAGTATTGAAAACTTTTTCTTTTCTCCCAAAACTTTACTTTACCTTGGTTTGGTCAAGTACTTTAATAATTGTAATACATATAGACAGCCTGCCTCCTCCAATAATTTACCCTTATTTTGTTTTTAATATGTTAGTTGTATAAGTACTAACTTAAGTGATCCCTATTCTTATTTCTGTGTTTTATTAATACATTGTCATTTGTCCAGTTTCACAGTGCTGTTTTTTTTCTTCTTTTAAACATATATTTTTTTTCTACATGCTGTAAAAGAGCTATTCTGGGTAGTTGAGGTAACTTCTCTGTGTTCATTGTATTCCTGTTTTCCCAGAGACTATGACTCACTCAGAAAGGAGGACGTGTTTGAGAACAACAGACTGGTAAGATGTCAAGATGTTCACCCTTCGTCTTACTGAGAGGAGCAGACTTCATACACAAACTGCAAAATCTGATGTAGCAGAAAACATCCACTTCATTAACCCCAGACATGACGGGCCACGTAGTAACACGCTGTTTGTTCTTGCCTTGGCGTCTATGCAGCAGATTGGACAAATATTTAGCTGTTTCAATTTTCACAGCACAGCAGATTAAGCAAAAGCCATATCTCTCTACTAATTTTAGACTCCTGTCAAACTCAACCTTTCTCAATCTTTGCTCTTGCTCTGTCCGTTTGAACTCATCTATTCGGTTAACCCCTGCGTGACATGAGCAGCACAGCTGGGACCTCTCCATTATTTAGTTTTTTAACCTCTTGCCGGCTTCCTCTGAGGGTTACAGGCCCTGCAGTAAGTGTGCTACAGTACGCGCTCCGTACGACTTCCTTGTTGTTTTCGATCATCTTGGCTGTGTCAGCAGCAAACCTGACCTCAGGGGAGAGGCTCTCAAGTCTATTCATTTTGAATTAGGCTTTACTATCGTCTGCCACTCGGGCCTTGTGGTGACTGTTCTCTTGAAGGCACTGCTGATACATACATCTTGAATGGTATACGAGAACAAAACGATTTGTGGGCAAAGAGCTGTGTGTTTGGTCAAGGTTAAGTTTGATACACTGCTGAAGATGCTCCCTCTACTGAAATATGAGACAGCACCTGGTAATTCACACCCTTTCTATATTTCATGAATGGTGTCATGCTTCTTACAGGTAGGGCTGGATGATAAATTGGATTTTAATTTCAGGTACAATCTAGTATGAAATTGCTTCTTAGAATTCATTTTCACCATAAAGCTCTAAATTTGTTTTGTGTTAGAAATAAAGCACACCCCTTTACCTGACAGTGGTGTGATTTTACACTCTAAAAGCCTAAGCTATTTAGTTCAGCTCAAGCCACGTGGACAGAAAGCGAGCCTTTTGTTCAACAAGACCTATCGAGAGAAGTAATTGAAGGATTCTGTAGGAGAACATGGTCATTGGAAACCGATTTTTATTTTTTTTATCCCAGCTGCCTTTATTTCCAGGGTCTTTAACACGGTCTGCAATGGAGGAGCTGGCCTATGCTCCTCCTCCTGTTGCCACTAGCGGAGGTCTTCTGATGTTTATGAGTTCACTGGGCCTCTTGTTGCCCTTATCTGAACCCACAGACGTCTCACAGTGGAGGCCAGCAGAGCAACCGGTTGCTTCATAGTCAAAAACATCCACTATCCTGTACCTATGGGCCCAACTCCTGATTGAACACCCATTTTCCCTATCTCCGATACTCTGTTATTTATTTTTATATTACTGGAGGTTTAGGAAAATCCCCCATGTACAGGGATAGGGGGTGGTGGTGGGGTTAAAGGTGAGTAAATTCTATATATTTTAATTTAATAAATAACCATGTTAGACTTTTTTTTTCCTCCCCATGAGCTGAAATTTGTGGTTTTGTCCACTTAAACTCCTCAGTATCCCCTTCTTTTTATATATGCCCACTTGCTATTCCATAAGGCTTTTCTTTAAATTTAATGAGCATATCCAGGCTGATCCTAAACAATGCACTGATATCCCGCTCTTCCCATCCTCTTTCTTATCCCTACAAGCTCACAGGAAGTGTGCCATTCATTATAGAGCCCTTTCCAAACCTCCTAGGGTTGTGCCACAGAATACCGCCAGTCTATTTAAAGTAAATTGTATTGTGTGACATATTTACACATGCTGTAACTGTAGGAGGTAGCCCAGCCAATGCCATGTTTTTACATGGAAAAAGTGTTTTGGATATGCTTACTTTGTTTGTCATATTTAGTTGGAGTTGGGGGCTGTTGGTTAAACTTTGATTTATTTTTTTCTCTTAAGGCTTTTCAGATCGCAGAGGAGAAGCTGGGGATCCCAGCTTTGTTAGATGCAGAGGACATGGTGGCTTTAAGGATCCCAGACAGGCTGAGCATTCTTACCTACGTCTCCCAGTACTACAACTACTTCAAAGGACGGCCTCCCAGTGAGAATATGTCTGCTTTAAAAATCCCTAGCAACTGCATTTGAGTAGTTCATCCTCTTTAATTCTGAGCTTTTTCCTTATATATTTCTTTTTTATGTACAGGCTGAGGTATTTTTTTTCCCCCAACTCTTTGACACTAATGATGTTTTACTGTCTTCAGTGGGAGGTGTAAAAAGGCCAGCAGAGGGCTCCAAGGAGGAGCCATCGGAGAAAAAAAACCTCCCAGTGGTTGCCAAAAGCTTTGTATCTAAAACTGCCACTGAGAGTTGTTTACCTTCCACTCACACAGCTCAGACCTCACCCAAATTGGCAAGAGCTTCTACTCAGGTCAGTAGTCATGTCAAACGGCACGTCATCAGTCAGCTAAAATTAAGGCTGTGTGTTAAAACGTCTTTCTTTTACACACCTTTGCTTTTTAAAGGAATAATATTTAGGATTAAACATAGCATTTATTTTCAGTGGGTCACCAAAGGAATCCTAGGGGAAATGGGATACCTTTCTGGATAAATGTTTTCTCACTTTTGATTCTTTTTCACAGAAGGTAGTTTTGGCTGAAAACCCCAACAAAAACGGGACTCTCAATAGCAAATGTGTTTCATGCAAGGGCCATGTTCATCTTGTTCAGAGGCACTTTGTGGAAGGCAAGCTCTATCACAGAAGCTGTTTCAAGTAAGAATTTAATCTATATTCATAGATGCTTTTCCCCCCTGCACAGGGGCTTATTCCATTAATAATTTAATATTAATAAACTTCCACCACCAGGTGTGGCGAGTGCGCCAGCGTACTCCATGTAGGCGGTTACAAACCTGGGACGGATCCAGACACTTTTATCTGTAACTCCCACCAGAACACTTCCAAGACTTCCTCCTCTGAGGCTCTGATCAAAAATGGTCTCACCAGTTCAGCTGCGCGACCACTAAATGATGCCAGCCTAAAACGGCCTTCACCACACCCCCCTTCGGTGTTGTCAGCCCCACTGAATAATGTTTTGAAACCAGTTGCTCCTACTCCAACCTCCCAGTCCTGGACGGCCTCAGCCCAGAAGACACAGGCTGCCCGGCAGAAGTTTTTCCAGACTGTGCCACAAGTTACTGAAATCTCCAAAGTCAACAACAGGAAGCCAACAGAGCAATCAAGTGTTCAAGTAAGGCCAAAGGTCCCGACTGATGATGATGATGATGATCGAAAGAGCCAGTCGAGGGTAATGGTTGGAAAAAAACTAGCAGAGCAAAACTACAACAATAATAACAAACGCCCATTTACAATCCGATCGGCGGATGAGAGATGGTGAGCATTGCATTAATATACAATCTATAGCCATGAATGCACTGTCCTTCTGAAGGAAACTTTCCCACAGTCTTTTTTTTTTTTTTTTTTTTTAAAGCTGATGGTGAGGGCTTTCTCTGTCCCCAGGTTTGGTGATGAGCCAAGTTTAGCTGACAGCTCTGCTTTGAAAAAGGATAAATGCAGCCAAGCCTCAGCAGGAAACTACGCAGGACAGCCCTCCACCACTCAGGCAAACAATAAGGAATTGCCATGTCTAAAGGCCATCAATAAAGACAACACAGGGCCAACAACTGTACACAAAACCACCAAAGGCAAGCTCCACTAAATTCATTTTACTTGTGTCTGATCCATTATTTGACATCCAGCCAGCATCCACCCACCCCCACCATTCAGTCTGTCTCTCACATTCCTAGAAAACAAAGCCCTTTTGTCATTTTTGCCCTATTTATAAAACCAGTGCATCTCGCATGCTGATAGCTGACATTTTAATTCCTGTCTCACACTAATGAACTTTCATAGTTGAACTGTCATTCTCCTGGGATGGATGTGCATGCACGGGTGTCACATTCTGACTGTCGGTGGGTTTGTAGACAGAAATACAATTACTGGTGGGTCTATTGAGAATGGTTTTTCAGTCACTTTTACTTTTAGCATTGATGGAAGTTTTCCAAACATGGAAATGAAGTCTGTTTCTTACTAATATTAACCATATGTTGACTGGACATTACGCCAAGGTCGGTGATTAAAGCATCATTTTGGTCTTGTGTACAGACGAGAATGTGGAGCGCAATCATTTTATTGGAGTGCTGTGAATACCTAGATAATGAAACCAGTAACTGTGCGCTTGACAGCTGTTTAGACGAGTGTGACACACGAGTCGAGGGGATTTTTTTTGTTTGTTTTGTTTTGTTTGTGTACAATAACTTGGAAGTGCCGCGAGTGTGCACGTCACTGACAAAGCAGATGTCTCATAAGCTGCAATGCACCATCTTCTCTCGTTCTAAAAGTTTTAAAACGGTAGTTACACAAGATTATAAGGTGAAGTGTAATGACGGATTTACCATTGTGCTTTTTATTCGCCAAGGTTAATGCAGAGTTAGACGTTTGTGATCATTGCGATTTGTGTTATTGTTTTCAGCAAGATTATGAAAAAGACTGCCAAGTGAGATGCTGGGAAACTTGGTGGCGATGTCGATCACAGGCAAGGCAAGGCAAGGCAAGTTTATTTGTATAGCACAATTCAACAACAAGGTGATTCAAAGTGCTTTACAGAGACATTAGAAACAAGAACAAATAAAAAGCATGATTTAAGGCACAGGCACAAGAACCACCTCTGAAATTTTGAAACGCTTTCTTTGAATTGAGGAAAGTATCATTGATCTTTGTGGAGGAATGCCCTTCTGCTTCAGCAAGAAAAAATGAATTGTTGGAATCAACCTAATTTTAATCACGGTTGTTTCAGCTGTTTATCAAGCAAGTCCTTTTTTTAAATGCAGTGATATGCCGTTATAGTTTTCACATCTAAGTATTCATGGTCTTTGGAGACTAGCAATAATGATCTTATTTTTCCAGTTTTGGTTTTACTTTCTGTCGTTTCTCTGCAGATCCAGTATACCATGAGTGGCAAAGAAAACCTGTTAAAACCGAACTCGGGCTAAAGTAAGTATTTACAGTTACTCGGCTGAAAGTTGAAAAGCTGCACAAGTGGACCAGAATGTCTTGAAAGACTTTCCTTGAAATACATATGACCTATCAGATTATTTACTCTCCAGAACGCAGAATCATCTTCGTCCATCTCTTTTATTGCTGACTGGCTCAAAGTGGAGCCGCTAGTTCTATCCCCCATCTTAACAAGTCCCGAGGAGTGCAAGGCCTGAACTCCTGCTTTCCTACTCCTTAACACTAGATTTTCTCATTTCTAACCCCTGCTGATGATTCCTCAACTGTTTTCATCACCTTTTTAACATTTCAAAATTTAAGGTGAGGTTGTTACTCGTCTGACCTATTAGTACATTTCACCTGTGTCGGATTAATGCCTCTGTATTAAAATAATAGGTTCATTTCTTTGTTTATATCTTACAGAGATGCTAAAGCTTTTACTGAAAATCATAAAGCTGAATTCATGTCCACACCTCCATCTAATGTCTCAATTAGTCCAACAAGGCTTCCTCTGGCTCAAACACCTGCAGCACCAGGAGTTAGCTTTGCTCTGTTTGATCCTGCGTGCTTTAGGGAAGTCAGTCCCCAGAAACCTCAGCCTGCCTCTGAAATCCTAGGTGAGAGGCTTCTTTGCATTATAATGAGAGACATTTGTCTGCTGATATATTAAATGAATTGAGTGTTTGATGTCAAAGTGAACCAGAACTAGCTTGCACGGAACCTCTCTGTAAAGGTTTTGGTGACTCAAGCTGTTTTGTCTTGGCCATTTTCATGTTTAAATAACAAAGTTCAGTCATGTGTTAATGGAATCAATTAATACACACTGAGAGCAGCAATACCCAAGTAAAGCAAATGTATGTGTATTTTATTTATTTGGCTAACTTATTCAAGCTCTTGAAGAATCTAAAGCGACATAAGGAAACTATGAAGTTGGTGGAAAATTTGCACTTTCATCTATTAAGATGGTAAAATAGATGTACTTGAATTTGGGGGTAGGGTGATTGGGTTCCAACCAAAAATATTATCTATAATCTAGACTGTATGAGAAGTCGAGAGCATCAACACAAAGAATGAAATACATTCTTGGTGGTTTGTATAAATTTTATGCCAGTTTTAGTTGGCTTATTTTAATGAAAACTATAAATGTGAACCTCATGGTTTTGCTTGAGGAAATGCTAAATTACTCACTCTAGCCAATGGGACCCATCCTGTGTATGCTCTGAACGTCCACAAAATTATACACACCCTATTGTATTAGTTCCCATATTAAACAAACAAAATGAAAACAAAGTTTTGTGAACTCTGCACTTCTGCAGTGTTTAAGGCCTCTTCTCTTTATTTTAGATTTTAAATTTGGGAGTTGCTTGCCTGTGAAATCCTCACCCAGACTGCCAGCTGTGAAATCTATTAGCTCTTCAACTACTTTTCCAGCCAATCATGGAAATCCATCAGGTTGTTTCCCATCTTTTTAATAGCTATCAAAGCCAAATATACATGATTTCAGATTTCTTGTTGATTTCATATGAAAAGTGTATAAATACGTTTAAAAAATTGTTATTTTACTGAAAACAGGTTAAGTCATATGTGACAATACTTTTCTAAAAAGCTGCCATGAAAGAACTATCTAATCCTATTTTATCTACCTCTTAGCTGCTAAAAAGGGAAAGTATTTGTCACCCACCAACGCCTCCAGGACTGAAATGAGGTCACCCTCTGTAAGTTCCCTCCATTAAGTCTCTTAAGAGATTAATTAACAGCTCTACAAATATGCTTTCATTACATTCCCAGCAAAAAATGGATGACCTTCTTTACATTAAAGTGGCCAAAGTCAGAATTTTCAAATTACGATAATCTTTACTTGACAGTGACTCTTAAATTCTCTGTTTTGCACCAGGTAAGGTCTTATCATATCCCAATGGAGCAGATTGAAAGGCAGCTGAATGATATTGAGACAAACTTGGCTCATTTGGAGAAGGAGGGTGTGGAGCTGGAACAGAAGCTTCGAAGCTGTGAGGAAGGTACGTTTTATGTCTTCCACTTCTCCTTTTTACTTGTAAAAACATACAAATATTAAACAATGCAATCAATAGTCCACTTTCAGACATGGTTCATGAGACATTTAGTAGCTGGCTTTTCACTCTTAACTCTGCAGCGTAGTTCCATATTATTTCTGAACAAGTGTGGTAATAAGCTGGATATGATAAGTTAAAGATATGGAAATGGCAAGTTACCACATCTTGATTACAAATGAATATCATGTGATATCTTACATTACTAATTACTTTAGTAATATTACACTGAAATTTAATAAGGGGCCAAAATCTAGGGGCAATACAAATGAAAACATACATGCCTTTGAGGCAAACCCAATTATTAATCATAGAGTATATTGGTAATGATATCATAACTTGTTAGGAATACATATACGTTGCATCTGTGCATTTTACATTTTTCATACACTGATATATATATATTTTTTTAAAGTGGTAGTAACCTCATAATCATAAGGTTATTTTGGGTGATGCTTTACCATATCAGGATAGTATTATCATACTATGATTATGGGATCTTGCATTTCTCCTTATTCACAAGGTCACAATGCAAATATTATCTTTTTATCCTTCAATAATAATTATTATTATTTGTAAATATTATGTTTAATGTTGTGGCATATTGTCTATTGTAGTTTCTTATTTCTATGGTAATGTAAAAACCAGGAATCAGGGTTTCAAAATACTGATTTGTATCTAATTCCATGTTAATAACCTCTTAAAGCAAAAGCTACTACATCTTTCCATACAATCATCACATTGCTTGAAGTATGATTATCTGGAAACGTGAAGGATTTTCTGTGTAATAACAAGAAGTTTGAGCTGCAAGATGATTATACTAAATTTTATTGCGGTATCTCCGTTTTTATTTTATTTTATCCTATCCCATCTGTAACATCTATATCACTGAATATGACCAATTGTGACATCTGTATATGTGGATCGGACTAAGCTAGGTAATATTTAATACCTGGCCATTTCTGAACAAGAGGGGGGTTGGTAGACCCTTCACCGCTATGTTGGTTTGAAGGAGGTAATATTCTAAAACAAAATGTGTCTTGCAATAACCTTAAACTAAAATTTGACATCATATTTTTGTTTGAACTGCTGAATCACTCTGCTGCATTGGTGAGTTGTATCTTGGGTGCTTCACACATGTGCTCACCATCAGCTGAAGGTTTGTGTGTGTGTGTGTGTGTGTGCCTGCAGGGGACTTGCATGCCATTTCTATTAGTGTTTCTGCAGTCAAATGAGGTGAGAGGCACAGCTAGCCCACAGGGATGTTGCGTCTCCTTTGAGGTAGTAGGAGTAGGGGGCCTTATTGCTTTGCTCAAGGTCAACATGACTTGGATATAGTAATAAATTTTTATATATATATATTTATATGTGTGTATTCTGGTCGATTGCTTTTTTTTTTCTACATGCCACCCAGGAAGCCTGAGCATGTCAGTTGGCCAGAATTTAACATCATTTCCACACTACCTAGGAGATCATCTACTTCTCAACTGGAATTTGTTGGCATAAAAACTAAACCCTGGCACTCAGGTTCAGTTCAGAATCAAATCATGTTTGTTCTGGTAATGACAGGATGTGTGGGGCTCTGTCCTCTGTCTCTGCAGCTCGCTCTCTGTTGTAAATGTGACTTGACTGATTGGTCGCTAATTAGGATTAGCAAAATATTCAGCCTAAAATCAATTGATCCACCTACTCGGGTATGACTCGGTGAAGCAGCAAATTTAAGCACTGTTTCAGTGCATGTCGGAGTACTGTGGTGGACCAATACTGAAAAGTATACACCGTATCCTGAAAACCTTAAATATTGAATCATCTTTGATGGTAAATTGCATTGTTCCCTGCATCATGTATCCATAATTCATCCATTCTCACATTTTCTTTAAAATCTGAGTAATAATATAACTTCTCAGGGCTGAAAATGAAATTTTAAAATGCTTCTTTGTATATGTGTGGCCACCAGTTTAACCCCACATAATGAAAGCTTTGGAAAAATATAAGCAGTATTGTTGTGAATGATTTAATTAGTAATTCATTAATTTTTTTTTTTACTGGATTGGTTTTTGAGTAAATTGCAAAAAGATGTTTGTCAACAAAACATTGTATTATATTCTAAAGTCGATGCCACAGGAATGATGACTGACAAACTATAAAGTGTCTATAGACAGGTTTTTTTGTAACATCATGTTCTGTGACATACATTTTGATATTATTAAAAAAAATAGATTTGGGTTTGGCAGGCTAAGCTCCATTTTAAGATTGTTGGCTGTGACATAGTGTCTTAATAAAGGTGACAGCGTGGTTCCAGGATGTGAGTCACTTCTTCTCTTAATAAAAATTGAGAACCACCTACTTGCATATGAGCCAAATTATCCTAACCCCCCCTTAATTTCTACTTAATGTTTTTCTTGCAAACAGTGAGGTTGAGTCTGCTCAAGTGGGGTATTTTTTTATTTATTTATTTTTTAATTTTTATCTTTTTTAAGTTTGCTCTTGGAGTATATCAGTTAACATCAGAACAACACAAAATATTTTGCTTACGTGAAATGATAAATGTTATGAGCTTGTTAAATAAACATCTAGTCAGTGATTATAATTGCTTGATTTACTACAATATATACACATCAGTGATTGGATAACAAGACCAAGACCATTATAAAACTTTTTATTTTATTTTTTGAATAAATTCAGCTGAGTGCTACTAACTTGTTTTGCAGATGGAGAAGGTGACATCTTGATGGACCCACTGATGGTCGACTGGTTTAACCTCATTCGAAAAAAACAAATGTTCGTTAGGAAAGAATCGGAGCTCGTTTACATGTGAGTATTATTGAAGGATCGATGCAGGTTGAGAATATTAAATGACCCTTTCTCCATTATTTGGGGAATTATTACTCATTTGGATAATATTTGTTTACACTAGAAAAGGCTTTTGAACAATATTCTTACTTTGACTTGACTTTGAGACTTGAAAGTTGGATTTCTCTTTATATATTTGATTATATTAATTCCAAACCTTATTTATTTTACCTGATATTTTCTTTAAAGATTTTTCCCTCATTGCTTGTACTTTTACTTGCATTTAACATTAGGACAAAAATCTAACTTAACTGAGAAACTCAAAATTTTTAGGATTGTTTAGAAGATTTAGATATAATGTGAGTTTTGAATTAGTATTTGATGTTAAAACTCAGAGCCAGGACTCAAGAGCTGGAGCAGCAGCAGCCAGGTGTTGAGGGGGAACTTCGCAGGCTGCTCGAGAAGCCAGGTAAGCGCTCGGTCTCTTTGCCTGTCAGCATCTGTCTTACTTCCTTTTCCGACATGCAGTTGTTAACATTGTCACAGATCATTTAAAGTCCAGAGAGGAACAACGGCAGGAGAAGAAACTAATGCAGAAATTGATGGAGATCGTGGATGGCAGAAACGCAATTGTGGAGGGTCTCGATGAGGACAGGCTGAGGTAACATTATCAATCTTCTAATTAATTCTTAAGTACAATGCAGTTAATCTTAAAGATTGATGTGGTAAAAAGATATGACAGTGCTTAGTTTGATTTTTGGCTAATTTCAGGGAAGTGGAGGAAGATCAGCAGTTGAATAAAATGATGCAAAACCTTGGTAAGCAACATATGAAATGTCTTTTTTTCTGTTTCAATTTGATTTGAGTTGTTAATATACTGGTTTTGTTGAGAACAGGAGTGAAGAAAGCCAAAAATGAAAGGAAATCCTCCATCTCAAAACTGTTCAGGCGAAGAAGTAAAAGACGCTTTGAATGATCCTAAAGGGGATTATTTGATTTATTTATTTTTATTTTTTACTAAATTGTCATTATTTCTATTGTATTAATATTCCATTTAAAAATTTAACTTTTTTTTATGTATAATTTGTGCTCATGGGAAAGATAACAGAAGAGATCTCAAATTAGGAAGAATGTACCAAGCCATATTTTGTCTATACACCATTTGAAGAAAAAAAAGAAAAAAAAATCGGTGCAAATGTTTTTGTTTAGAAAATCACTTTCAATTCTTGGTTTGTTGCTACTCCACTGTTGTTCCACTGTTAAGGTTGTTCGTATAGAAAATTCTCATTTTTCTGTTAATATAATTTCAGTCTCACTAAAGTAAAATGAATATCACATTTGGGGATATACTAATTTGTATAGATATATATATATATATTCTTGGAATAAAGTAACCATTTTAAAATCGCACATGGTTTAAAATAAAAGCAGCGTCGAATCAACTGTCATAATGTCAAAATGATGAGGGAACACTGGCTCTTCCACATGTGAATAGGAGTGAGAAGGATAAATGTGTAATCCTTTGCCAGTCTTGAGTCGAAATGAAATTATTTCAGTATTTATTTAATAATGGATTTTAACAAATTTCCTGTAAGGATATTAGAGGGAGCCTTGACAATTAAGTTTGAATGGCTGTGGAGTGTAAAATGGGGAGCCACACATGTTGAACTGTTGGGCTGTAGTTCCTCTCTCAGACTGTACTGTAGGTGGCAGCCTGGGTATGCTGTATCACACGGCAAGAACTTGGAAATCCTATTTGCCACAGTACAGACAGTTAATTTCTTTGCTAATTTTATAAATGCTGCAAAAATGTTCAGCTGTGCTGATGCAATAATGTTATGTGAAAGAGGATTAGGAAGAGCAGTAGCTTATGGCTGGCAAAGGCTTATAAACTATAGGATGTATTGAGCTCTTTATCTTCAAACCTGGTTTAATTAAACATTACTCTTTACTAATATCTGCATCAGAATTGCTCCATACCTGAGCTATTAAAATGTTGAAATGACGTGCGAGCGCACTCATCTGTGAAAATGGCATTTGCTGTGTTTGTAAGGAATGCTCTGTAATGTTGCATTTTAGAAGTGTTATTGAAAGGTGTGTGTGTGTGTGTGTGTGTATGCGTTCTCCTATTTATAGTATTTTAAAACTTGAAATCTGTTGTCCAATAAATCCTTTGAAGATTAGAACGAACGAGAGGTTGAATTATTTACTCAATAACCGCCTCCTTCCATTTTAAATAGATCCCCAAACTTTTCATCTCTTCCCTCCCCATGTTACAAGCTTCACCAATGACTGTTGATACAATGACACTACCAAGATCAGACATTGCTTTCAGTAAGAAGCCAACAGCACTGGAACTCCTTTGCATTAAAGCTGCGGAGCGATCACGGAGCAGCATCGATGTATGCCTTCATTAAAGCTTTTTAAAGACGGCATCAAGATAATTCACTGGCGTCAATATATCGCAGCTTCTTATAAACTACATATCGCTCATTTTGAGATGCATGAAATTGTGATCATGAACTTGGAACACAATCTTTCTAGCTGAGCACAGTTGAGGATGATATTGGTACAAAATGCCACGCGTGATGTGGGTGACAGTCGAGACTGAATGTGTGATATTAGAGTTAATTAAAGCTTTGCGCCCCATCTACTGCAAATGCTTGCACTTCTGCAATTAAGAATCAAAGGCGAGGGCTTAGTGTCAGGGGGGTGTCTAATACATGGTTTTAACAGGAATGGGACCTGATTTGCCGAGCTCCTAGCGACAAGCATTAACAACAGCCTCAAATTAGAGAGACATTAATATTCATAAGTAAAACAATTCATCCTGTGAATGTGTGATGAAATGGAATCCTCTGAGGTGAGCTCTTGTGTCCAGGCTGCCATCGTTCATTAAAATATGCCATTACCCATGAAGTGCTTAATCTTTATGAAAGGGTGGTGAAATCAGTTTGAACTGCTCAAACAGAAAGGTGGAAATCGTAATATTGTTCAGAACCTTACATTATGTTAATCTTGTGCATTTCGTGACGACGCGATGTTAAACAGTATAGGTTTCTGTGTGTCTAATGAAAATGTACAAAGCATTTTTTTTTCTTTTACTGAAATTAGTCTGTTATTCTATTAATAGGGCGTGAGTTCTTTGTGATGTTCTAGGTTGGCTGTTAGTCTGCCTCTTCCAACACCATCTAAATTCTGTGTGTGTGCGTATGTGTGTTTCGTCTTATTCCAGTCACTGCCAGAGTCTCTGCCACTAGCCTGTAATTATGATCCTCGAGGTAATTTTATCAGGCTCATTAGCTCTGATGAGTAAACGAGAAGCGTGCCTCTAATTTATTGGCCATCCAGGCTGGAGACTTAATTCTCATCAGAGAGATCATAATATTTGTATAGAGAGTGAGACTGATACAGTATACATATACACACTTGGTTGCAAAGCTCCTAGAACAACACCGAGGCCAAGACTTTGTGACTTAAAATCAGTAATTACACTACTAAGACAAGCCCGTTTGGATAACTGGGCACATGCTTTAAAAATTACAAAAGATGTGTCTGTGATGAGCAGGGCACAAAACATAGTCGTCTTTTTTTTTCCTTTTCTTTTTTTGGGGGGGGCATTCAGGCATGATTTCAAATGAAAGCCATTGTTTGCATTCTAGGGAGTCTTGAGAGTTTTTATCTTTCTGCACAAAATTAGATTCTCACACCTCTGCAAACAAAATTGCATTGTTTTGTTCCCTGTTCAATAGAGATTATCCATTTTCTGTGTCAGAGAATGTGTTAAGGGAGCGGTGTAAATATGCTCACCATTTTCAGTGTGTAGAAATTTGCATTGAGGGGAAATTATGCATGCTGGCTAGTGGAAATGAAATGTATAAAGTGCATGACTGGTAGACTTGACAAGTGCAGCTTTCATCCATCTCAAATGAATAATTTTCACTTCCCTTAAACATCCTTAATCCAACCATGTTATCAGCGGGCATGCAGGATTCTGCCAGACTTTCTCCTTAACGGCACAGCAACTTTCAACTTGCCTGAGATTTTGCACTGCAGTTGCTTACCACATGGTCTTAGGGACTCACTCTTATCCTTGCCTGCTGGTTTTGTGGATCAGTAAAATTCCTTCAAAACACAATATATACATAACGCAAGTCTTAATAGATAGCAGAATGTCTCACTCTACCCTCCTCTGTGCAGCCTCAGAGGTCGACTTAATGCACTGTATTTTACCTCTGATTCACATTGGCAGAGAACTCAGAGGATGGTGTCTAAAAAAACCTATTTGCTCCGTGGCCCTTTGTCCTCTATTTCAAATTTCAGTGACAGACCCCTCCATGATCCTATAATGTGGTTTGGAAACTCATATGGCCGTAAAGGGATAGAGAAGGATATTCATGGTAAATTACTCATTTATAGCACAGCATTCAGCATTCCGACTTGTTATTTAGGGACATTTCCTTGTCTTCTTCACTGAAATCCATACTGGTAATGATACTGTACAGCGAAATACATCCCCCACCCCTCACATCCCGGTTCTTTTAATTTATGCATTGTGGCATGTTTTTAAAATGCTAACAAACAATGAAATGTGTAATTGGTGTTTATGCTACTAATCCGCCTGATAGCCTCTAATATGAAGGGTTACCTGGCTATTTTCAATATCCACTTTCTCAGAAGCCTCAGTCTGCGATAAGAATATTAACCTCATCAATTTCAGGTAACTTTCAACGCTTTAACATCTTGTCTTAAAGACCTACGTGTTAGCAGGAGTCTCAGCCTTGGCATTTAGTGACATTTTAAGCCTTTTAACAGAATCCAGACAGGGATTTGCCGTTTCCACCAAAGGAAAATAATTTATATCCTCCTTTCTGAGAAACTGTGGGTAGAGGGATTAAATACACCAGAGAGATTTGTATGTGGTGCAAGTAAAACAATATTGTGACTCAGTTAATATATTTCCTTCCATCTACTGTCATGCTTTGAGGAAGTCGGGAGTTGTTACTCATCGGGCTGAATGATGCTCGATGCTTTTCTTGTTTCATTTTCTCACTTTCGAGGTTTTAAGTGTGTAGGTCATAGCGATGACAGCAGCGTGTACCTGAACTCTTCTTATGACTATGCAATGAGACAATGCGTGTTAGGAGATAAGTGTTGGAGGCAATGAAAAGTCTGACCGAGACCAATTATTTTGCATTCCTCACAGTCAAACTCACTTAAAACCTTTGGAACAACCAAATGCTTTTGCTCCACCCGGACTTATATTTAAAACATAATGATGTCATGTGCACAAGAACAGGAAAAAACCACCACATTTGTGAATGACAGTTTGGAACACAAAAGGTCTTTTCTGTGAGTTGGATGGGTTTTGGACTGTGTATCTGCTTGTGTGTGTGTGTGTGTGTGTGTGTGTGTGTGTGTGTGTGTGTGTGACGGCCGCTGTGTAGTGGAGACATGCAGGGCTCTGTTCTCTCTGTGGGCTGGCAGCTTTGATGCACTGCCTCTCTTATCTCATGCCTGGCAAGGTTAATGAAGTGGTGGCACTTTTGGAGGAAGTAGAAATGGGATGAGTAGCAAAGACCAGAGGAAGCTTGGAGATGAAACGTCCTGCTCTTAGCGGCTGTAAGTGGCAATTTTGGTGAATTACATAGACAATGAGAAAAGGGGTTGTCATCCTCTTAAACACAACAGTCATCTGAATCGGGGAATGGTTGATTGCATCTCTTTCAGCCTGGTTCATATGAAATTACATTAGCATTTAGGCATCACTTGCAGCTTGATCTGTCAAACATCTCTTTATAAGGCCATATTAGTGTTACTACGCAGCACTCAGCCAACATTTAAATCACTTCCTTTTTTTTGCTTGAATTATAGTCACGTAGACTAATACACAAACATAATGTAGCACCTTAAATTGACTTGAATGCTCCATGCTAAAGAGAAGTTGCCTTGCGCTTTTTGAGCGTCGGATCATTTTTCATTCGAATCAAAGGAGTTTGTATAGCTTTGAGCCTGGTTTAGTCTGTTCTAGTCCTTTGAAGGACTTCTAAAAAGCTGCGGCACCTTTGTCAGTGGCAACAAGTCCCACTTAAGTGAAAGAGTTGGCTTATTTCATTTTGAGTCTTGGATTGTGGTGCTGGTTACAGCTTAAACAAAGGGCAGAAATGCCACCGCTTCTATAAATATAATAACAGCTGATGCCCTGTATAATTTTTTTTTTTTTTACTTTATTTTAATATTCCAATTCCCTTTGCATCTATAAGAGCTAATAGGTAAACAGTCCTGAATGGTAGAAATGAAGCAGGTCTACATGCCAATGAATTAGCATATAGATGAGTTCATCTCATACAAATAGTGCTCTTTTGCCCAG